TTCAGGCTCTCTCGAGATAGTTTTATAATACACTGTGTGGATTTCGGTTTTACTGAAATTAAAATGTAGCCAATTTCTGAGTCTTCTTATAGGCATTTGCTGTTGAAAAATATGATTTTATCTTAAGAAATTGCAAAATTATTATTATTGATGATACTTTGCGAAATGTTTTAAAACGTTCTTAAAATTGTTATTAAACGGAAATGCAATAAAACTTGCCTTTATCTGAGTCATGTTGAACATCCCATATATTAAATGTGAAATTTAACTAATAGAAATTTGTGTTGCTTAGCATCCGTATCCTACTGAGGATGAGAAGCGTCATATCGCGGCCCAAACGAACCTAACACTACTACAAGTGAACAATTGGTTCATCAATGCAAGAAGACGAATTTTACAGCCAATGTTGGACGCCAGTACTCCTACAGGACAAGAGGGAAGTCAAACCAACTCTTCCGGTAATGGTGGCAAAAAGAAAAAGAGTCAAAATAACAATCGGAGATTCTGGCCACAAGAGTTCGGGAATATGCAACCTAATCTAGAAAGTGGTAAGTTAAAACATTTATCCTTTGCTATTATGTGACATGTAACATGCCGCAGGATATTGGCTATTCGCGAGTTCAACTACCGATGGGCGCGCTGCGAAACGTTCAATCGCGAGACAATCAAATTTGCACCATATATCATCATCGAAGGATTTTAAGCCCACTCTAACTTGATCAGTAAACAAGACTTTCTTCAAGTCATCYAAATCCCAATCCACGTGTTCTCGAGCAAACTGAAAGCCTTGCTTGCTTGTGGGCTATAGTTTAGAGARGCCCTTTTGCGGGATGTTTGGCACTCAATACGRATTGATTGAGCCTTACCGTGTTGGAAGAAATTGCAACATTTAGGGCATTTMGATTTTTTATCTCATTTYCTGTGAGAAATCGATTTYTTAAAGCTTGCCTTCCTATAAAACGATCGTCCACTTGGTTTGTGGATCTTGGTCAGCTTTACCCTGGTAGTCTAGCAAGACATCGACCAATGGTGGTGGTGGGATAAACACCCAACATTTGGGCGAACTCGACTCGAAAATGACAATTTTGACCGCATCAAACTCACTTAAATTTCTTCCTGGGAACATTTCAATCGAATACACTTTAATAAGTTAGRAAAAAGCAAGAAAATTGAATCGAAAACAGTACCACACTTGCTGAAAACAATGATGAGATGTTGCAAATGACAGAAAACAAGTAGAAACTTGAAATGAATAGAAAGGGATAAAAAAATAATTGGTATTGTACTATGTTACCA